CTTCGGCGCGTCTCCCTAAAGTTGACTAGGGGTCGGGTCGAGGGTCTGGGCTGGGTGGGGGTTCTGACGAAGCGCGAAAGTAGATACAACAAGTTCCCTAAGCGAGCTACGCAGTCATTGCCGAAGTGGTCACGGTCCAGAGAAGACCATCTGCAGAGCAGGTGTGGACGATATCGTGCGGCCCAGGGAAAAAAGGCAACCGACTACCTCAGAGCCTCGAGATTCATAGACCCCTACCGCTGAGGCGGGTGTCACAGCGACAAGTGTGGGCACATGAAGGGGACAGAGGCGTTCCGACGAACTTCGAGCACAAAACTCAGGCGTTTCCTTTCTTGTCGCCAGGCATGTCCTAGCTCAGGCCAAGGATGACCCCTTGGTGCTCTTCAATGGCTGCACACATGCTATGATCAACCAAATGCCCATCCGACTCATATCGATAATGGCAGTCAAGCAGGGTAGACGGACAAGCAGAGACATAACACATAGTAAGTAGAAACAGATTTGGCTGGATGAACATATCAACGCGTATGCAAACATCTGCACATGATGATGGCCTGAAGACCATGGCAATTGTAAAACCAACCCAGTAGGCATGCGGAAGGTCGTTGTTAGATGCAACCGGATCGCGAGATAACTGTGCCTCTGGACAGGGGCGGGCGCATGAACTTCCTGTGAACCTCCCCGTCATGCCCTGCCGTTCTATCACCATGCAGAACGAGAGTGTGAAGCACAGGTGGTAAGACGTCGAGATGCCGCCCGCGTCGCTGCTCTCCCCGCTCTATGTACAAGAACAGCATGGACGGCCATGTGTTCCAGATCGCCGGAGGTGGGGATGCCGAGCAGAACAACTCGTCGGAGGTACAGACTACCCCTCGCCTGAGAAGTGGTCCTCCTACCGCACGCCATCTTGCCGAGACGAGCGTCGAGTTCCCGCCGCTCCCTTGGCTGAGGGATGGCTCGTCGGCTTGTGGCCTGTATATACACAAAGTCAGAAGTGCCTCAGGCCAACGCTTTGGGCGGCCTGACCAGCGGATGAAATTTCGGGCTCGCAGGAAGGATCGTGCAAGCCTGCCCTCACACAGAACAAGTCGTCGGCCAATCAGTCACAAAAACGCACGCCCTTTTAAAATCATGCGCGGCAATTTGTGCGGCAGCGCGAATACGTGTGGCACATCTCCTCGTGCAGCGAGGGCACGCGCCATGCCAGGCCGCTACTGGAGCTGCAAGCCCGCGAGCGCGTGGAGCGCAACGGCACCCTCGCCCCTCGCCGCACGCAGCAGCGGGCTGCCAGAGGGGCTCTCGCCGGGGGAGGGCCCGCTGGGGCTGCAGCCAGTGGCGCTGGAGCCGCTGCCAGTGGTGCTGTCCGCTAGTGTGAAGAAGCAGTGCTTCTCTGCCATCTCCGCGGCGGTAACCGCCGCGGCGCCCAAGCCGAACGGCAGGCTGACGGCCAGCTTGGCGTTGGCGGCCACCGCCTCTTCGAACGACCAGCCGCTGCTCTCTCCGAAGGTCTCCTCGTTCATGTCGTCGAAGCCTGACTCCTTAGAGAGGCGCTCCTCCAGCTTCCCTATGAGGTACTCGTCGTCGAGGCTCCCGTGATGCTTGAATGGTGCCCAGCAGGGTCCCTGTGGAATGCGGACGGTCGTGAACATGCAGCGAGATGATCCATTGGAAGGTCGCCCAATCCTCTCAAAAGCTCTCAAGAGGTCATCTCTGCTGTAGCTCGCACCAGCTGCACGGCTACGCAGCTCGCCATTCGTAGAGCCGCCTGGCCCCTCCTCCCCTATCATCGCCGCAGCCTCCTTGGCACGCTTCTTGCCGGTGCGGGCGTCCGTCTCCTCCACGTACCGGACACGCACGCCCACGCGCATGCCCAGGAGTCCGTCCCTTGCGAGCTGGGAGCAGTGGAGCAGCACGTCCGCCACCTCCGCGCCGTCCGGCAGGATGAAGCCGAAGCCCTTGTGCTGGACCACCTTCACGAGCGTGCCCGTGCTCGCCGCGGCGGCGCCGCCGCACTGGCCGCTGCGCACAGCTCGATGTGCGGCGGCCGCCGGCAGGGGCGAGGTGGTCGGCACCGCGCCCGCGCCCGCCCGCCGCGCGTCGAAGTCGCGGCGGAGGTCGCCGAGGGGGCGCAGCGCGCGGCCGGCGCTGCGACTTTGCGCGCCGCGGTCCTCCGAGTCGCTGCTCGCGTCGCTCGGGAGCTCCCACTCGCCGTCGCAGCGCGGGGGGGCCGCGGCGCCGACACGGCTCCGGAACTCCGCGACGAGCTGGTCGAGGGGGGCGAGGCGGCACTGCGGCACATCCTGGGCGGCCGAGCCAACCGCGGCATCTGCCGGCTGACCGGCCGCCACGTCGGGGCACGCCCCGGCCCCTGCAGGCCGCAACATCGCTGCCGTGCAGCACTGAGCCTCCGCTCGAGGAAAGGCCACGCCGGCGGCCAGACAGGAGGTTCACCTGCAGACAGGCCCCTCTTCAGTCTGATGCTTGGTAAAGCAAAGCTTGATGCAAATTTGATGCGCGCAACATGTGGGATAAGCACAGAAAGCTAGCGGAGGCCAATGAACTCAAACTGAAGGCGCATTGAATTAAACGGGAACAAAATGGAAGCGAAAGGGGTGCAGATCATACGGATAAGATGATGTGAGGCAGAGTGGGGACAAGGGGGAGCAATCGGGAGCACATATAAACACATGGTCTTAGGTCATAGCTCCACAGGAACTAACACAAATCGGGGCTGGTGGGCAACCAACAGCAATGGTCACAGAACGAGTAAAGCATCATGGCAGCGGGGATTGTCAAGGCCAGCGGCGAACGAACGGAGATCCCAACAAAACTGGGCAGCGTGGCAAGTACGGGCTGCCTGAGGAGACTTGAAGGGAATCCCAGCAGCACTAGGCAACATGGAAGCATGGCTAGTCGGGGCTAGTGGCGAACAAGGCACCTGGACAGGAGGTCTTACCAGGACTATGTAAATGAGAAGGGGGGAAGCACAGAACTGGAAGGGTCAATGCAGAGCGAACGGCAACTGAACGTCAGCAGGCAGTGAGGAGAACTCGCAAATTCCGAGGAGGGCTAGTCGGGGAGAAAGACAACGAACGGAACCTGGCAAACACGATACGTTGATGAGAGCGAGCAAGAGCCGCTTTGATCAAATGCATGGCGCAACATGCAGACTTGCAAAACGCGCAGACGTGACACAACCCAGTCGGCCCATGCGGTAGCACTCGCTCGTCCGATATAATGTTGGCAAGAGCGCGTTGCCAACCATCTGAACCCTCACATAAACGGGCACACGCGCATCTGTGTATCTCATGTACGCATATACGAAGAAAGAGGAGATATGACGAGGGACCGATAGAGAGGGTATGTATGTATGTATGCACATATATATATACACATGTGCACATGCATACATACAAAGAGAGAGGGGGAAGAGAAAGAGAGAGGGAGGGAGGGAGGGACATGCAGAGATACTTTGATAGATGTACAAAAGAAGAGCCACAGAGTGTGACAAGGGGGATTGTGAAGGGCAGGGAAAAGAGAGAGGGCAGAAGCAACGGACAAATCCGACACGTCGACACGCAAAGCCAGGCCGTCGCCCATCGGCCCGGGTTCTCGGCCAGCAGCGGGTCGAGTCTCTCCAGCTCCCTGGCCAGGCCCCCCTCATCGTCATGCGGCCGCTGACTCTCAGGCCTCGCCACAGGTACGGCAGGTTCGTGTCGTGCCGACCCCAGCGCTGGTTTTCGACACCGCAGGGATCGTTCAACCTTGAACGATCGGCCACTGCCGCAGCGTCCGATCGTTCAGCATCGATCGATTCTGGGCCGCCGGCGGCGTTCAACCTTGAACGCCCGCGCTGGGGTCGCCGCTGGTCGACACGACGCAAACCTACCGCACCACCGCGCGGCGTTCCCTCCTGCCCACCGCGTGCAGCAGCACCGACACACCGCCGGGGCGACACCAGGACGAGGCGGGTGCGAGCGCCGACCCGACCCACATGGCCGACTCCAGCAGCCGTGAATCCACAAGTGTTTGAAGGGGCCCCAGGACACACAAATCAATACACACAAACAAAAATCTTCCCCATATGTTTCCCATATTTTCTGGCCTTTTGTCTTCCAGCCCACTTCCCATATTTTCCCAGATGTTCCTGGGAATCGACGATTCATTGTGTCTGTGTGTGTTTTTCCCCTCCTGAGTGTTGACGCCGCACTCCTGCTGCCGCCGTCCCCTCTGCCGAACCCCTCCGCCGGCGGAGACGCCCACCTCCTGGGGAGGGGACGTCGGCCTCTCGATGCCTCGGGGGCGAGCCTTCCCGTGGAGGGCCCCAGATGTCCGAGCAGGGCCTACGGAAGGCAGGCCAGGGACACAGTTTCAGATTTCGTTTTTAAAAAGGGAGGGGATCTCACGCCCACTTCCTGGGGAAGGGACGTCAGCCTCTCGATCCCTCTGGGGCGAGCCTTCCTGTGCAGGGCCCCAGATGTCCGAGCAGGGCCTACGGAAGGCAGGCCAGGGACACAGTACTCCAGATTTCGTAAAAAAAAAAAAAAAGGGTCTCAACCCTCCCCGACGAGAAGTTTTAGACCCCCCCCCCTGGGAGAACCCTCCAAAACATCGTCCCCAGCCCCCCCCAGGCCCTCCAGGATAGCTTGGAAAAGACCCCCCCCCCCCCGAAATGAGACCCCCCATCCCTCTCTTACGAAGTCTGGAGTGCACAAATCCGTCAGCGATGGCCACCTCCCTCCGCCTCCTTAGGAGGCATCGGGATCGCCGTTTCCACATGCGCGCCTTTTGACCCCATCCGGCCCCGCAGACGGTCGACCCAGAGAGCCCAGGAGCCCCTGGGCGGCCACCGTGAGGCCCCCGAGTGGGCCAGGCAGGCGCCTGCCTCGCCAAGCAACGCTGCAGCCTCCAACGCTGCTACTCGCTACCAGCATACTGCCCCCAAGACTGCTACTGCGTCGTCGTCGTCGTCGCCGTCGCCGTCGCCGTCGCCGTCGCCGTCGTCGCCGTCGTCGCCGTCGTCGTCGTCGCCGTCGTCGCCCTCGTCGTCGTCGTCGTCGTCGGCGTCGTCGTCGTCGTCGTCGTCGTCGTCGTCGTCCACGACGGCCCCGCGCAGCGCCCCGCCTCCCGCGCCCCCCCCCCGCTGATGGGGCATGCGCAGCGCCGCAGCGCGCTTGCCGGTCCTCCCGCCGTCGCCACGTCACCGTTGCCGTCGACTTCGGCCACGTCGGTCCGCCCACGCAGCCACCCCATGGTAAAACAGGGCTAGGATCGGGATAAATCGCTCCAGAGCGTTCCAGAGCGCTCTCAGAGCGTTCCGGAACGCTCTGGAGGATCGGGATAAATCGCTCCAGAGCGTTCCAGAGCGCTCTCAGAGCGTTCCGGAACGCTCTGGAGCGGCCGCGGCGCCCAATACATCCTCCAAACCCGCCGATTCTCAGAGATCTCGAGTTATCCCGATCCGAGTTTGTCCCGATCTCCATGTCGTTTTGCGTGGGGCACTCGCAGCGCGCGGCGTCGGTCGCTCCGTCGTCGCCCTCTGGTGCCGTCGCTGTCGACCCCGAGGGGGCCCGAAGGAGGAGCCCCTGCCGCTCGCCTCGGCCGCTTGCCTCCCCCCTCCTCCTCCTCCTCCTCCTCCCTCCCCTACTCCTCCTCCTCCTCCTCCTCCTCCTCCTCCTCCTCCTCCTCCTCCTCCTCCTCCTCCTCCTCCTCCTCCGCCTCCCCCTCTTCCCCTGGGCCTCTTCCCCGCTGGGTGGAACCACGTCGGCCCCGCCCGCCGACCGTGGGGCGCTCCTCCTGCCAGCCTCCTCCTTTTGGCGGCGAGCGAGGGGGGGAAATGAGCAGGGGAAGGCCTTCTCAGAAGGCGGCGGGACTCCTCAGGAGCCCTCGCGCCTTCTGAGAGAAATGTTTCTTTGTTTTCGGGGAAGGCTTCGACAATTTCCCAGAAGGCCGGGGGACTTCCGAACCTTCTGAGAAGGCCTTCTCCTAGGGGAACGAAGAATGACAGAAACATAAAAACTCGGAGGTCCGCGCGGATTTCTCGCCGGCGCCGCCCATGGCGCGCTCCGCGCACCAGGGAGAGGGGTCCAGAGCAGATCCGAGAAATCCGCGCGGACCTCCGAGTTTTGGTGTTTATGTCTTTCTTCGCTCCCCTAGAGAAGGCCTTCTCCTTCTCACTTTCCCCCCTCGCTCGCCGCACCTCCTGCCCTGCTGGTCTGGCGCCATGCTGGCCCAACCGCCCCGCTGTAGCGGAGGCGCTGCTGCCGCTCGCGACGCACCTGTCGCCCTCCAGCCGGCGTTAGGTCGGGCATGTTCTCCTAGAGGCGGATGTTGTATGAAAAATGAGGAATAGCAGAAACATGCTCAAACCAAATAGAGAAAAAGAGAAAGTCCCAGACTATTGGTTTACTATTTTTTAAAATATTGACAACTCCTCTTGTAGAGGGACATGCCCGACTTAAAGCTGGCGGCCGCGTGCCGGCTCTGATCACGGACGCCGCCGTCATGTGCTTCCGTCGGGCTGGCGCCCCGCCGCAGTTAGCCCAAGCAGGGGGAACGTGTGTTTGATCACTCGCCCGGCTTCTTGGCTATGGGCCACAAGCTGACATTCATGTGCAAGCGCGGTGCTAGACATGCGACGCGGCGCCACACCATGCGCGCCCAACGTGCACCCGACATAAAAAACATCGACGAGTTCCATCACCATGTCTACGTTTCTCGTTACATGAAGATTTTGTTTTCGTTCACCCTCCCTTTGTTTGGCTCGTTATTGGGTTCTTCTCGACATCCCGGTGCTCCCGTCGACGCCATTTCAGCAGCCCATGTTCCTTCGACAACATTCGGAATTCTGTTGAGCTTCCCCCCGGAGCGACTGCGAGTGGGGTGGGGGTGGCAGGGACGTTTTTGGAGGCGGGGGCTTATCCATGATCACAGCCTGGGAGGGACCTCGGCAAGGTGGATATGGGTACTTAAAGAGCTGAACCATTCTAGCAATGTGCTAGGGCAACGAGCACGTCGATTCCCGAGGCTGTGGTTATGGATAAATCCCCGCACCGCAGTGTCGGATCGTTCTCATGAAGCAGACGGGTCCTGAGGGAAAGGGGTCCTGGACTTCGCGGTTTTCAGCCAAAACCAGTGCTTCGTCCCGAGGCGTTGCTTGACGACATGTCTCAGGCCCGTGGAGGGCGCCCGCAGGTCGGAAACTACAAAGAACTGCAGGACCCGTTGCCCTCCGGCCTCGCATGCTTCATGACGGGGCCGTCACTCGGCCCTTGCTGGTGGGGCCCAGTGCGCGCGAGAGCGCTTGCTGCTGATGCCCAGGGGGGTGGGGGGGGCGAGAGGGGCTGCGCGGGCCGGGGGGACACGGATCCCACCTGCCGCATGCAGGCTGTGACGCTCGCCTCCTCCGCAGCAACAAAAGAAGTGTGATCCCTGTGTCGACCCATGAAACACAACCCACATGAAAAAACACAACCCTATGTCAAGCCCCCAAAAAGCAAC